ACACACACACACACACACAATACACACACACACACACACGCACACACACACCCATTCTGTAGAATGGATTGTAGAAATAATTACAGCTTGAAATGTTAAAATAAGGAGTTGGGATGCTATGGAAGGTTCTGGGTTCCACCTCTAGCACCATAGAATGAATGAATGAATGAGAAAATGCTAAAGTTGGGGCTGGGAAGGTGGCTCAGTGGTAGAGCACTTGCCTTGCATGCATGAGGCCCTGGGTTCGATTCCTCAGCACCACATAAGAACAAAGCCAGAATTGGCACTGTGGGTCAAGTGGTAGAGCGCTAGCCTTGAGCTGAAGAGGTGAGGGACAGTGCCCAGGCCCAGAGTTCAGGCCCCACAACTGGACTCCCCCCCCAAAAAAAGAGAAAATGCTAAAGCTGAAATAATCATCTGCAATCAGTGATTTTTTTTTTGTCCACTTATTTTTATCAATAGGTGAAAATTTGGTTTCAGAACAGAAGGATGAAATGGCGGAATTCCAAAGAGAAGGAAGTACTTTCCAGCCGCTGCCTCCAGGCCCCGAGCCTTCCAGAAGCCCCCCTCTCACACGCGTCCCTGGGGTTTTCATCCCAGTGTCCTTCAGTATGGGAGGTTTCCCAACAACCCTCAAGTCCTGGATGGAGGGAGGAATCTCCAGAATCCTCAGAAACACTCCTGCAGGGGAGTTGGCACGCCTCACCCCCCGAAGCAGATTGCCTGCCAGGTGCCTTGTACTTGTGCTCTGGGAGAGATACTGTGGACAAGGAAGACATTTCTGAAGCTGTCTGAATGGAAGCAAATCCTCCCAGTTAATTTAAAAAGAACATGATGTAGGTCGGGGCACCAGTGGCTCTGGCCTGTCATCCTTGCTCTGAGACCTGAGGATGGAGATTCAGAGCCAGCCTGGGCAGGAAAGTCAGTAAGACTCTTATCTCCCATTAATCACCAAAAAGCCAGAAGTGGAGCTGTGGCTCAAGTGACAGAGTGCCAGCCTTGAGCCAAAGAGGCTCAGGGACAGAGCTCAGACTGAGTTCAAGCCCCAGGACTGGCACCAAAAAAAAAAAATTTTTTTTAACCAATAATGTTTGGAATCTAAAGCCAGTTAACTTGTGCCTCCTCCATACTTTAAAACTAACACCCTTGGAATCACCCACCAACTAAGGCTCCACTCCAATGATCTCTTACTATGCTCTAATTGGAATGAAATCTCCTAGGAAATATGACAGAAATGAAAAGAGCAAGCATTTGGTTTGGTCTTTCTCTATATGTATCTATGCCTGAGTCTCTGTATATATAATATGCATATCCATTAAAATACATTGGTAGCAACTCATTTCACTTGAAATATTGCACTGAGCAATTTCTTTCTCTCTCTTTTTTCTTTCCCTCTCTTTTTCTCTCCTTCTTCCCCTCCCTCCCCCCCTCCCTCCTTCCTTCCCTCCCTCCCTCCCTCCCTCCACCCCTTCCTTCCTTCCTTCCTTCCTTCCTTCCTTCCTTCCTTCCTCCCTCTCTTCCTCTCTCCCTCTCTTTCTCTCTTTCCCCATTTCTCTCTCCCTTTCTTTATTTCTTTTTTCTTTTTCTTTCTTTCTTTTATTGTGCTGGTCGTGGGTTTTGAATTCAGGGCCTAGGTGCCATCTCTGAGTTTTGTGTTCAAGATTAGAGCTCTACCACTTGACTCACAGCTCCACTTCTAGCTTTTTTGGTAGTTACTAAGAGATAAGAGTCTCACAGACTTTCCTCCTTGGACTGGCTTTGAACCTCAATCCTCACATCAGCCTTTTGAATAGCTAGGATTACAGATATGAGCCACTGGATCCTGGCACTTTTTTTGAATGAAAAAAATTAGGTCACTGGGAGGATGTTACTAATTTTCTGAAAAGAATGTTAAATTTGGATTTTAGTGAAATACCACAAAATATGTCTTAAAATTTTTATTCTAGGGCTGGGAAGATGGCTCAGTGGTAGAGCGCTTGCTTTGCATGCCTGAGGCCCCGGGTTCGATTCCTCAGCACCACATAAGCAAAAAGAAAAAAGCCGGAGTGGCGCTGTGGCTCAAGTGGTAGAGCGCTAGCCTTTAGCTGAAGAGCTGAGGGACAGCGCCCAGGCCCAGAGTTCAGGGCCCACGTCCGGACCCCCCAAAAAAAATTCATTCTATTTTCTGGTTTCTTTTGGAATCTGGTTTGTAGGTGATTTTTTTTTTTTTTTGTCGTTTGTGGGGCTCGAACTCTGGGCTTGAGCACTGTCCCTGCGCTCTTCAGTTCAAGGTGGGCACTCTACCACTTGAGCCACAGCGCCACTTCCAGTTTTTTAGTGGTTTATTGCAGATAAGAGTCTCACCGACTTTCCTGCCCAGGCTGGCTTTGAACTGCAATCCTCAGATCTCAGCCTCCTGAGTAGCTAGGATTACAGGCGTGAGCCACCAGTGCCTGGCTTGTAGATGAATTTTAATAGCTCAGTGATCTGAATCTAATGAGCCACACGAGAGCCATACATTAAGAAATAAACATAAGATAAACTTAATGAGAAAATGAGTATTTCTGGATATAACTATTAGCATTCTTAATTTCCAAGTCTCTGGGTTTTAAAAGGCCATGCCTGAGAAAGGCACTTAATGAACTGCTAATTGTTTTTTCCTCTGTCTTCTGTAAGGATAGGCCTGGGCCATTGCAGAATAAAATTAATGTTTTCAAGGGCCTGTTACATAAGTAGAAGTCAGATCCTAGTTATTTGGGTGTAGCTATGCCCTTGTGGCTCATGCCTGTCATCCTGCTTATTCATGAGACTGAGATCTGAGGATTACAGTTCAAAGCCAGCCTGTGCAGAATACTCTGACAGACTCTTATCTCCAATTAACCAGCAAAAAGCCACCAGTGGAACTGAGGCTTAAATGGTAGAGTGCTAGCTAGCCTTGAGTGAAAAAGCAAAGGGACAGTGCCCAGGCTCTAAGTTCAAGACTTAGGCCTGCCTCTACTCCCCAAATTGAATTCAGTAATTTTTCTAATATCATGTTGGCCCAAACAGAACATCTATGCTGAATAGTTAGTAACTTCAAGTCAAGAATCAAAGAGCCATGGTGTTACAATTCTTAAAATATGTCCAACTGGATTTACAAACCAATACTGGTGAAATCTATGCTCATTTCTGTTTCCACTTCTAATTTAGGGCCCAATTTTCCACTTACTCAGCCCAGTCTACATTTATTAGCTTATTTTATGTATTCACAAACACCACACAGATGTTTTCTGTTGTTTGACTACCTTGAAATAGTATTTTTTTAAAAAAAATTACATTTCTGGTAACAATTTGCTTAGTTAATCCAGATATTTTAATTCCAAGTTGAAGGGGAAAAAATGAGGTTTCACTTTGAAGGAAATGAAGCAGAAAAAGGAAATTATGTGGTTTTGAATTAAACTGCTATTAATCTGAAGAGAAGAAACATTTCTAGTTCATTCTATGGCATTTTAAAAAAGTCAGCAAGCTGGGGATTCGTATTTGCTCACCTTCCTTGCTATCAACTTTATGGTAATACTTCAAAAGGTGGTAACCTCATCCACATCAGGACTTTGCTTTCTTTTTTAAAATTGTTTTTAATGCCAATACTGGGGCTTGAACTCAGAACCTGGGCATTGTCCCTTAGCATTTTCCCTCAAAACTGGCACTCTAGTCCTTGAACCATGCCTTTACTTTTAGCTTTTATTTGGTTAAATTGGAGATAAGAATCTCAAGGAGGGGCTGGGCAGGTGGCTCAGTGGTAGAGCGCTTGCCTTGTATGAATGAGGCCCTGGGTTCAATTCTTCTGCACCACATAAGCAAAAAGAAAAAAGCCAGAAGTGGCGCTGTGGCTCAAGTGGTAGACTGCCAGCCTTGAGC